GCTTGGTGCGGTGAATGGTAAAACTCACTGATGATGCCGACTATGATGCCGGCGAAACGTTTGAGAATGTATCAAGTCTACTGTCTGATACTGGGAATCATGGCAACTAATATGGAAGACGACTTTGAACTAGGTGCGTTCTACTAAGTCGCCCTGACAACAAGATCAAGTTGTGACAACGAGGTCGACCCACTTCTACAACTCTTTGTTGCTTCAATTAATAAATTGACGATATTAGATAATTTAATTTCTGGTTTTAGCTCAAAGGAATTTTGATTAGCTTCTGTTTTGGCTAATATTTGCCTAATGACCATGACAGCCTAAGCTGATTAAGGTAATTAAGGACCTACTATTAAACTTTTTTCGCGATTGGACGAGTAGCCCCCGAATGGTTATCTTATCCGAGATGGGCTGGACTGCAATTTCGCCTCGCCATCTCATCTGCAGCCCCAGCATGATTCGATACTAACTCGTGAATATCTTGATCGACGTTACCGATCCATCAAATGCCCACTGGTCACATGTGGCGTTCAGTGCAAGTCAGCCCCCACCCGAATCGCATTTATGGTAGGACTGTTGATTAAACAAACATATTTTATTATTATATGAATTGTATTCACCCTATGTCGTTTAAGGTGATGAAGGACGGATAGTTGAATTTTCCCTAAATGGTATGAGCAGACATGACATTTTCCATTGAATTGCACGTCATGTCTACTCATATGACTATTTGTATTTGACGACGTTACTTATTTCCAATATAAGTAGGACCCGAGGCTATCAATAATTCTTGTATAAAGATTTAGTCAGCCTTACTCGCTTAACTGATAGGTGAATTTTCCCTATAATGAGATATTTAAGCCTTAAAAGGCCATAGCATTTCATTTGTCCCTGCCTCCCAAAAGCTTACCTCATCCAGGATGGGCTGCAGATTGACCTCGCCTTGGTATCATCTGCAACCCCAATGGAAAACACTTCAAGGTCGTGAGATTCATGGCAACCTTTCCACCCCACTACACAAGCCCCAATACTACTTCCCCACAGGGCAGATGCGGCACTTAAATCTACTTACATTTTTAGTGAGATAGTCTACTGGGCAAGCATGTGTTTGCCATTTCAATCAACTACTTAATTTCGATATGAGTAGCTTCCGAGTCGATCAAGTATTCTTGAATAAAAGCATATGTCACATAAGGCGATTTAAGGACTAATAGTTGAGCTTGTCCCGCACTACGGAGTTGCTGTGGCCGTCCGAACTGGCGAGATGACTGGAACTACCTTCAAACCATGCTTTTTCGGTGTCGGAAGAGGAGCTAAGATGGGCATATACGCCATTACAGGCCTCGGTACTGACCTACGACTGCCACCGAGGCCGGCCGGCCACAGAAGCCTCGGCCAGCCAAGGTCACGAACGAATGAGCCTTTTGATTTGGATTCCGCCGACAAGCAGCAACCGTATCTTAAGAATGACTTGAACAGCTTGAGTGACGGAGTCTCCGGCTTCAGGACGCCCTCAACCGCCTAAAGGGTAGGAAGAGTCGGCCTCCTGCCGAGACGAAAAGGAGGCAGGGAGGAGGATCAGGTAGGCATGCGAGCGATAGGAACAGCATGTGAAATGAGCTCGGCCGATTTTCGACATGTGTAAACTTCATCTGCCTTTTTATGGCCGTCTAAGATTCTCTGTAGATTGGAAAGCTGTCTTTTATTGCCTTCAATTGGTCGAGGCCTGTGTCAAGATTTGGCAAAACTGGCTATTTGTGGCTCAGACATAATCTGGAAGTCTACCTACGTCCCGTCTGCAGCACAAGGTCCCTAATAGCCATTTTACTTTTCCTTTAACCTAAGTTCACACTGCCTTTTAACATGATTATAATCATCCGACCTCGGCTTCAACCATCACTGATTCCACCCACCTGCAGACACACACACACACACACACACACACACACACACACGCATACCCATAAATCCACAGACACTTACATGTGAATGCAGGTAGGTAGGGCGAGACAGTTTCGGATGTCATGAGTTAGGCATTACTCATTCGGCATCACATACGTTGGGGTGCAATTAACAGATAAGCCGGACGTCTATTGCTACTTTGCATTACTGATATTCAGTAGACTGGCAGGTATGTTCATCTTCTTCAGATAATTTCACATATCAAGATATCATAGAAACGTCTGTAGGGCTAGGCCTCATCCTTAGCCTAGACAGCATTAGCTACAGGAAACTGGATTTCTACGAGCCGCCTGGAATAAATTAGTTGTGGTGAGTGTCATTTAGTGTTAATGTAAGATATATTTTCATAAGTCTATGGTGGAGTCCCGTTGCTCTGCAGTCCCTGATTTTATTTGAACGTTCAGGTTGACGCTGTTCATAAGACAACTTTACGGATGTCGTCAGAGCTGGGTCTCTTTCTCTACACGCCAGCTACACCCAGAACGATAATGAAATTTCGCAAAATTATTATTTAACAAACACGCAGAAGTAAACTTACATGAGAAATTTCCAAAATTGAACCGTGGACGTGGAACATTCCCAGACGTTTCGCCGGCATCGTAGTCGGCATCGTCAGTGA